GCTTTGGAGGTGGACCACCTGTGTTAACAGGTTACACAGATGCAGATATGGCAAGAGATATAGATACGAGGAAGTCTACTTCAGGTTATATACTTACTTTTGCAGGGGGAGCTGTGTCATGGCAATCCAGGTTACAAAGGTGTATTGCTCTCTCTACCACAAAACAGAATATATTGCCGCTACAGAGGTATGCAAAGAAATGTTATGGATGAAAGAATTCTTACAAGAATTGGGGCTGAAACAGGAAAATTATGTGGTGCATTGTGACAGCCAAAGTGCCATCCATTTGTGTAAGAACCCAATGTTTCATTCCAAGTCAAAGCATATAGATGTCAGATACCACTGGATTCGAAATGTATTTGAAGAGAAGCAGTTGCAGCTTTAGAAAATTCATACAGATGACAACGGAGCAGACATGTTGACTAAGACCTTACCAAAAGAAAGACAGGAGATATGCCGACAGTTGGTCGGTATGGCTTCACATTGAGGAGTCATGGGACAGCCTCCCTTATGGGCTGAAGGGGGAGGTTGTTGGGCTGATGGCCCATATTCAGCCCATGTGGGCTTTATCAGCCCATAGCCCACACCCCCTCTTAACCTAACCCTAATTAAGATTAGGGGGGTGTGGTGGCTGCGTTTTAGATGCAGATTAAAGCTATAAAAAGGCAGCAACGAGGCAAATCTTTGGAGCCACGAGATTCCAAAGAGAAGAAGGAGAACAAGGCAAAAAAGGAAGAGAAAGAAAGGGAAGAAGACAAGGACAACGCAGAGAGACTGTTCTCAATCATCTAGCAGTGTTCTCATCTCAGGTTAGATCAAATCTACAGTAGGCTCTTGCTGTGATTACTTGGAAAGTTTTAGATATTGTGGGCAGTGACGTGATCCTTGTATCCCAGTTATTCTCTTGTGGTTGTTGCTAGGGTTTTGGGCAAGAGATTGAGATTTGTACATTCATTATTCTCGTAGTGGATTATCTCTAGTTTGCCCCGTGGTTTTTACCCTTCACATTGAAGGGGTTTTCCACGTATATCTTGGTGTTCTGTTTGATTGTGTTTCCATTTTATTCCGCTGTGTATTTTGGTCTTCTAGTATTTGTTCCTATACAAAGGTTATTCCTGTTTATATCCCCATCAATCTCTTGTAACAACAAGCATATTATTATGAAATTGATTATCTTTTTTAGATATGCACAACTATCATAAAATAATATACTATATCTAGAATTATGCATAAATTGATCAAATCGTTTATATCATTGCCTTGGAGTCTATTGAGATCGTAGAGAGACTTCTTCTGTAAGCAAACATGGTTCTCCTTCCCTTTTTTCTCAAATCGTTCTGGTTGCTTCATATAGATCTCTTCTTCAAGTGTTAGTGAAGAAATATCTACACATTTAGTTGGTCTAACTTGAATGTTGCTACCAAGGCTAACAAGACTCAAATGGAAGTATATTTAATAACTAAAAAATATATATTTATAATCAATACATGCTATCTACCTATACCCCTTAGCCACTAAGCAAGTCTTGTAGTTACCTCATTCCTTGATATTAAAATCCACATGCACCCAATCAATTTCTTGTTAGGTGGAGGCTTCACCAATTCCCAAGTATAACTTTTTAACGGTGATTAAAACTCCTCTATCATCATTTGATGCCACTTTTTAGAGTCTAGGCTACCAAGATTCTCCTTGTCTAAAGTTGGCTCTTCGCACTTTGCAACTCCTCAGCAATAGTAAACGTATAAATGATAGCATTCATATACTTTGGGTTTAGATGTGATCCATGACATGACAGGGATAACCTAAAGTCTGGTTACTCCTTGGGCACTAAACTTTAAAGTCTTTTATCACTAAGAGATAACCTAAGAAAATATAATATTTTGCCCTAGGTTTCTAGTTTACCATCATTCACCCTCATATATACCTTATAACTAAAAATTGTTAAATGTAAAAAAGAGATAGGAGATCCACCCTTTTGTTCTGGTGTCTTGAACTCAATGGCAAATGATAGCCATCTGTTTATAGGTAGCATGCAATAGATACTACATAGATCTAGAATGACTTTAGAAGCTTAACTTTTAAGAACATGCATAGTACTTTTTCTAATATGGTATAGTTCATTTTCTCTATTACCTCATTTTGTTGTGGAGTGTGAGGCACTATAAGATGGTGAATGATTTCTTCCTTCGTGCAGTAGCTATTGAATCTACCACTATAAATTCCTAGACTATTATTGGTACGGAGTGTCTCTTAATTTGTTTCTCTACCATATTTGTTTACATCTAAAATTTTTCAAAAACATCACTCATTTGTTTAAAAATATACACTTACTTGAGAAGTGATCAATGAAGATGAGCATATGACAAGCTCTCCCTTGAAATGCTACTGGTGAGGGACCCCACAAATCTAAATGGATGTAGTTGAGGGTTCTCTTTGTGTGATGTTGTCTAGTGAAAAAAATAATCCGGTTTGCTTTCCAAAAATATAGTGTTCATATTATTCTAATTTTGATAATTTTATATCGGTCAATAAATATTTCTTATTTAATATCATCGTATATTTCTCTCTCATGTGACCTAGCTTCATGTATCGAGGGACGAACTCATCTCCTACTACTATTGAGTCTCGACGGATATAAAGTTGGTTTTTCTTTTCGGCCTTTCTCATCACATGAGCTCCTTTTTTTATTTTAAAATTTTCATTTTGGCTAAAGTAGTCATAGCCTAAGCAGATAGGAAAATTATATTTTATTTTAGCTCAAGAATGTGTCATACTTTGCTAAGGTCCTTACAATCCTATTGTGCATCTTAATATTAACTGATCCTATTTAGATGACTTGCACGATGAGTTGTTCCCCATAAGCACATTTTCTCCTCCTCGGATGGGTTCATACGTGGAGAACTAACCTCGATGTGGTGTCATATGAAATGAATGCCCAAAGTCCAAATGCCACTCATCTTATGACCTGGTTGTGACATATGGAGGCCATAAGTACCTTCATCTCGATTATATTTTTTTTCAACGTACGAGGCTTCAATAGTTTGCTTTTCTCTTCACTAGTTTCTTTTTGAAGTTTGACGGTTTATTTTGATATAACTATTCTTTCTGCAGTGATAGTACTGAATATTTTTTGATCTAGATATGGATCTAGATTTGCTTTGGCCTCCTTTCCTGGACTCACTTTTTCCTTTGAAGTTCAAATCTTCAACGTGACTTTTGGAGGTTCCAATTGTAAGTCTATGACTTCTTCGGACACTAGAGCTGAAATCATAGTATCTAAAAAAATGATGTTCTTCCCATATAAAATTATTTCATGAAAAGTTTTATATAAAACTGGAAGAGAACATAATAATAACAAGGCCTTATCTTCTTCTTCAATGGCGATGCTTATATTTTCTAGATCCATTATTATAGTTTGGAAGATGCTAATGTGCTGGTTTATCGAGATTTCTTCTGTCATTCATAACATGTACAACCTCTACTCGAGGGCCATCTTCCCCATGCTACTAATTTAGCTCAAACTTGTACTCCAAGTGTTTTGTTGGATATGTACAGGAATAAAATTGTCATGATCAAATTCTTCTTACTCTTCATTGGTACTTGTCATTTTTGATGGTGTGATGAAGTTTCTCTTTTGCTAAGATAGTTTTCATCTTCATCGTCCACAAAAAGTAGTTAATGTTTCGGTACAATCTTTTGATCTCGTATATGGTGGTAACCTAATAATTTGACTCCAATAAAACTTAATTAAGAATGATTAATAGGTTATCTGGTCACGAGATATAGATCCAGTCGGTAAAAAAAACATTTAACATGGGTTGGATTATGACACATGTGTCGTTTCTACCTCCACGAACCGTACGAGATTAGAAGAGCCATAATAGAAACAAAACCCGCAAATTAACTTTGCCCAAATACAACCAAAAACAGGAAGTAACACCTTACTTGATTTGATTAAGCGACTTAGTTATAGTCAGTTTCATAGAGTTAGGGCTTGATTTTTCTTTTTTTATAAATATTTGACATATTTAAATTTTGATAAATAAAAAATAAAATATTTGAGAGTAAAAAAGGTTTTTATAATATTTTTAAAAAGATAAAAAAAAATCAGAGGATAGGGATTTGTGCTTGAGTGAGATAAATCAAGAATATTATGATGAATCTTACGGTGAAGAATTTGATTTTTAATCTCTGGACAAAGGCAAAAAGAGTTGAATCACGTTAATCTTATATAAATCTTTTAGTATACCATTTTATTATTAATATCTGGGTATTCTTTTAGCGTTACAAGTAAATCTCTCCTTTCTAATAAAAACTTTCCAAATAAAAAGGGTTTCAAATAGTAATGCCACGTCGGATTACCTAAAATTCAGCATATCTTTTGCCACACTAATAGCAGAATTTTTTTGTGGAAATCTCTGATGCCAAGTATCTTCGTTGGACAGCTATTAATTACGGGGACAACCACAAAAAGACCCAATCAATGATCTCACATGTATTCCATGTAGGTCGAACGGTGGTTAGAAGGCCTCGTCAGTCACACACGTTATGTGCATCGATTAAGATGTATCATCTCGGTAACACTTCATCGAGATACGTACTTGTCCAAAAGGATAACAGTGTGCACGAGGTGAAGTTTGGAGATGGAAGTTTTCTGGTCGTCTGTTGTAGGACGAATCTGATGCAATTGAAGTTTGATCTGCCGTTTTTGATGAACAACATGGTTGGTTGATGTTCTTCCAACGTTTTTGATGAACAACATGGTTGGTTGATGTTCTTCCGACGCTATCTATATCTTGAGAATTAATTCCGGTAATGAACTTATGGATCCATAAGCATCGTCCGGTTTCTTTCAGGTATTCATTAGTCATGTTAAACCACTTTGACGTCATGCAATAAAAGATCTGTAACCCCTCGATCACAAGATCATCTCGTCTGATACGATCACTTCTGAATCCAAAGAGTTGCCGCTCACTTTTCAATCCAAATCCACCACTAAATGGATCAAAGCAGCTGTCTGATCGGAGAAGAAATACTAGTGGTTGCTACATCGATAGACATTTACTGCATAACCTACTCTTCTTGTCACAGAAGATCAAACATACTTTAGCCTACGACCATCTACTACTACATACATATAACAAGGGAGATAGATACACCTGTATTATCTACATCGGCAAGACGAATTCCTCATCTTCCTTGATCTTAAGGTGTCATAGTACATGTAAGTAAGAAAAGCATGGCTAAACTTTGGGTCATGGCCTCCGTCCATCGGCTGAGCACTAATCCTTACAACATAGAAGCTTAAGTGCTGGTTTAATCAACGCTGACCAGCTGCGGTCCGGCGGGTGCACAAACTTGCAGTTGGGACATGACAAGGCGGCCTTGGTCATCATCACCAGCATGTGGCAACGCATGCAGACGGAGGCCACCATCTCTCCGGGATCGGCCTCGTCGGACGTCCGCAACATGCAGGAGTTGCGAGCCTTGCCATGCTTCATTTGCTCGGCTTCTGCTTCATGGAGGTGGCTTCTGGGCGACATGAGGTTGAGATCCAGGTCGAGGCTCAGCCGAGAGCTCGGTGGCGGTGGCGGCTCCGAGCTCAACTTGCTTGGGTGCCTGGAGGTCCTCCGGTGCGTCCTGGTGTTGTAGAAGTGTATCTGTCCAGACTGCAATATTGAAATTTTCACATCAATTATATCCTAATCGTTTGCTATTCTCTCTCAAGCAAGCATCAAACATGCATGCTTAACTCTATTTAAAACATGAATTTACACAACAATCTTTTTCGTTTTCATGTAATAGAATATGATGTCGTCGTAAATGAGTAATGATACGTCACAAATTCTCCACAAGTGTTTACCTTGATATCGAGGCATCGTTGCCAATCCAAAGGCAAGGGAGCATCAAGATTAAGCTCAATCTCCTCTTCTTTCTCCTCGGCTTTCACCGGCTTCGTTTCCTCGGCGAACAAAGCTTCTGCATGATCTTCTCCATCTCCACGCTTCCTTTTCTTAGTAAGGAAAACGAGATCGGCGCACGGAGAAAGGGCTGCTTGCACGGACACCATGGAGACTGCACCAAAGGAGCACTTGAGCTCTCAAACCATCACACCCTTCTACAATCTCATTTGAGCTGCTTATAAAGGCTCATTTTTAAGTGCAGAGAACCGTAAAAGAGGATCTAATGGAGCATGCCATTAAAGAATTTTGGAAAGGACCCCCCTCACCTCTCTCCATGACACACCACCAACATACACCAATGACTATTGACATGGCAATTAGTCCATGTTTAGTGATCACCATGCATCAACATTTTGTTTGAACATTCTCTTTCGCATGCAACTAATGCCATGGCATGGTTGGTGTGTGCGTGCTGTGGAGGATATAAATGAGTCAGATAGAAGAGATGAGGGAGCAAGCAGTTGAGGGGGGGGAAGTGAATGCCATGCCTCTTTCATTAACTCCATCTTTCTCGTTTGGGTCACACAGTGAACTCAAATTTAAAGCACCCCAACACCCAAAACAATCACATCTTCTGAAGTAAATGGACACCCTCCCTCCCTCCCTATTCTCCCCTTTTTAATAATCCCTCCTCCAATTCTTGCCCAGATTTACTCCCACTGTTTTCAAGTAAATTTAATGGCTCCTCCACTGATCGTCCCAGTGCTTTTTCCCCCTTTTTTATTAATTTTTATTTCTGTCCCTTTTGTCTTCTTCGTTTACTTCAGTTCTTCATCTTCAGTATGTTGGACAAGCATTATTCTGCAAGCACTGTTAGATAGCACTTTTTTCTTTCTCGAACAAAAAATATGGTATCCAACAAATCATCCTAAAATACTAAAGGGTGATTTGCCCGTATTGTGATCGGCAGATGACGAGGAAATTGGGTGCCACTGTATATTTCATTCACCGCTCGTCAGTTTCCATCTCAAAATTGGGTGCTTATGTTGTCATCCTCAGAGCCCTGGAAACACTTGTATCATTTTGTCGAGATGAGCATAGATCAGCAGATGGATTACTAGGAATGTAGTTAGCAGTTGGCTCGATGAGGATCATCAGAAACAGTAGATGCATGAGCAAGATGTGATCATCAATTTGCAGCAGAGATCAGACAAAGATCTGTCTATAATTGATTCCTGAAGTAAGATCATAATTATGATCCTATGAACCAAGAATTTACGACTGGAAGAATGTTCTGTCTATAAAAATGTAGACCGTAGGCTGAGGAAATGTCAGATTATTAAGAAAATGATGGATATCATTAGAATTTAGCTAATAATTGGGAACTGAGCGATCATTTATGTATTTATATACATATTTACCGTTTAAGAGGAAACCATGTGACGTGTGCTTCAAATTTCTGATTACAAGTCGATCTAATCAATCTTAAGTCAACATCTTAAGCAAACATCAACCAATCTACAATAGTGAGTGATGCTGCAAACTCAGATGTAGCTTATTACTTCTCCCTGTTAACCTGATAAGATATAGTGTTTTCAATAGCCACTGAGGACAATGGAACCTGAATCATCTGCAGCGAAAGAAATCCAACTTTGGAACACAGCTAAGCTGCTTTCACTTTATGACATCTGCATTTTATTGCATGAATTGGCTACTCATAACTCCCTTGAATCAAATCGATGGAATCACAATCTGGAGGCAACAGCTGTCAGTTCTTCATTCGCGAAAATCTAATATTTTTTTTCTTCTCATAGCCCAATATTTTAAAATTAAATTACTAAACTAGATATGTTAAGGACTCTATAATATCGATCCCAAGTCTCGATGAAGAGCTACGTTACGTCACACCATTGACGATAAGTATAAAACTATGTTGGTACGAGAAAAGATAGAGGGGAACTAAAGATTTTACAAGAAAAGATAGAAAGGGAGACTAAAAATTTTATAAGAGAGTATAAATAAAGATTCAAATATTATTAACTTATTTAAGGATATGATTTGTGATCTAGCTCACAATGTACAAAAATTCCTTAAGACTTGAAGAAAGAGTAGTTTTGGGAATATACAACTGTCAAGCTAGGAGTGGTGTGTTTAATCCTCAGAAGGTGTAGAGGTTCTCAACATTAAAGGCTGGAAGAAGAAGGTCATACTTCATGGTTGGAGTTCACCTGCCACAATTAAGTCCCCCATGAATTGCCTTCAATGCTGGTTTTAGAAAAGGTGGCCATTCTTGCTGTGAAAGAGTCATCACTCCACGACCTATCTCTGTCGAATGCCAAAACCTACCTCTTGTGCTACTTGTGCACACTCCTTTAAGATTCAGCCATCGCACAACATCAGAGAATTAATGTTGCAAGCAACAAGCAACTCATTCTGACAAATGAATGGTTCATCCACGATGCCCTCGATAGAATATTCGTCATCTATATCGTTTAGGAAGAGGTCAATTAGCAGTAATGTACGTCAAGGATCCTTATAACTCATATGGTTCCAATCTCATTGATGTTTGGGCAAACATACCGAACTCTAAGAATGTGAGGTAACATATTTTTAGCAGTAGCATGTTGCAAGTTAGGTGAAAAAGAATGCTATCTTGACAAGCAGTCTAAAGTCGCTTTGTGTGTTTTAAGGTGACGGGTACTGTTGCCTAACTAATCTGGTTGGACTCAGACTGCACTAGTCGACAGTAATAGCACTCAATTTTCTTCAACATCATGGTAAGAGAACATCCATAGCCAACCCCAAATGATTGAAAAGTAAGGACATGCCATTGTTGGTGTTAAAAGATCCCATAGGATTCCTCAAAAGACTCAAGAAGCAGATAAAATGATGAGGGCGAGACGAGACAGACCATCAAGGTATTCAAGTCACACCATACATATATGACATTATCATCCTGGAGGTCAATGCTTTGCATTTGTAGAGCACCACGATGACTGCTGGCTATGGGCAAGAGAGTTGTTCACCATGCTAACAATTTAGATCAAATACAAATAAATACAAGTTCGTTCGGAACACAGATTATCTAAGCAGGACATCATCATATCAGGATAACATCAGAACACAGCATGCGGTCAAAGTGCATTAAGAGAGGGAGATCCCTCAGCTGGTCCAAATGCTGTCAAGAAGCTACCATAAACGACTGTGCCAGAAAAGATACTTCAAACTAGTGTCATACCGCTTTCACCACCGGGAGGTTTGCAGGCACCACAGCTTGAAGAGGATGCTTCCTGTCATTGAAAATCATTATCACTCATTTATTTAAGCTTTGTCGTGCTTCTTGTCGTTTCTATAAATCCTGGTGGTGCAACATCTTTGAAGACATCATTGCCTGTGAGTTCTGGTATCTTCAGAGCATGGATTTAATCAGAAGTCTCGACCACAGTTTCTTCACAAAACAAGAAATTGCTTAGACCGGCAGTAGGCTGAAATGGTAACAACAGTTCAGAAATTGAAACTTGCAAGGAGCCAGTATATATGTGTATTTGCTCTAGAAAGAAGATAGTCAGAAGGAAGCCCCAGAATAATGAAAAACCTAGAAACCTCAAGGTAAGGAAAAAAGAAGTCGAGACGCCAAAATTTTAGCATCAACTGACTGACTTTAAAGATATCTACAGTTGGTAACCATCTAGGAGTGTTCCTCCAAGGACCTTGTGATTTATCTCCATATTTCATGCTTGCCAATGGACGGACTAAGGGGAACTTCTTGAGGAATAGCAATGCCAACTAAGTTCCCTGGATTCTGGATCAGATAACTGTTTCTCCGATCTAGGTTACATACTCAGTACAGTCCCACTTAATTCTTGCTGCTTGGCCACCCAGACCGGTGACATTGATTTCTCAGGGAAAACCATTCCATTGCATTTAAATGAGATATGGCTAGTTGCACTACATCATGGCTGACTTGTACTCTAAAGATGATTTTATTAAACAAAAAATTCATATATCAGTAATCAATCAAATGCAAAGTCTGGAGCCTAATTGTACTTGAGAAAAATTGGGTACCTTATAACCAATCACAAATCTTGTTTTAACTTAAGAGATTGATACAAAAAAATCTTTCAAGCAAGACTATAGATCATCCTAGTGCGCGTAACTATAGCGTTTGACACTTCATTTGCAGTTCCAAAAAAATCGATTTGACATCATGCAAAGTAATGAAGCACAGCAGTGATAAATTTCCAAATGTTACAAGTATAATTCAGCTCAGAAAGAGAGAAAAAAAGAACAATTACAAGAATATCTAACTTCTGGAACAGGATGACTTGTGGATCTGCTTTTCTAGTTTTCTTCAAACAGGACTCAGATGTCTTAACTTTTGTGTAATACCAGAACTCCATGCTTAATAGGGAATAATATCTGATTCGTGAATCTGTCCAATCGCTAGGAGTCGAGAAAGAATTCTCTGATTCTAGTTGATCACCAATGTTGTGAACTACAAAGATGCCACTTTCCAGTCATTTCTTTTAACTTGGGACCTGTACAAGTCTTTGGAAGCAAAAAACCATATAATCAAAATGTGTCATTCTTGTACTTGCAGACAGCCACCCAGACCGGTGACATTGATTTCTCAGGGAAAACCATTCCATTGCCTTTAAATTAGATATGGCTAGTTGCACTACATCATGGCTGACTTGTACTCTAAAGATGATTTTTTTTTATTAAACAAAAGATTCATATATCAGCAATCAATCAAATGCAAAGTCTGGAGTAACCGATCACAAATCTTGTTTTAACTTAAGAGATTGATACAAAAAAATCTTTCAAGCAAGACTATAGATCATCCTAGTGTGGGTAACTATAGCGTTTGACACTTCATTTGCAGTTCCAAAAAAATCGATTTGAGATCATGCAAAGCAATGAAGCACAGCAATGATAAATTTCCAAATGTTACAAGTATAATTAAGCTCAGAAAGAGAGAAAAAAAGAACAATTACAAGAATATCTAACTTCTGGAACAGGATGACTTGTGGATCTGCTTTTCTAGTTTTCTTCAAACAGGACTCAGATGTCTTAACTTTTGTGGAATACCAGAACTCCATGCTTAATAGGGAATAATATCTGATTCGTGAATCTGTCCAATCGCTAGGAGTCGAGAAAGAATTCTCTGATTCTAGTTGATCACCAATGTTGTGAACTACAAAGATGCCACTTTCCAGTCATTTCTTTTAACTTGGGACCTGTACAAGTCTTTGGAAGCAAAAAACCATATAATCAAAATGTGTCATTCTTGTACTTGCAGATAATGAAATGGATAATGCAAATTAAATTTTAATGTGTTATTCATGTTTGACTCTACTTAGATCATAGCAAGGCATGTAACAATTTGTTATAAGTTTGTTTAACATGAAACACTCATTTGTTGATGACATGTAACACAACTTTTTCAGGCATCAAAGACAAAAATTCATTTATAAGTATCAAACTGCCAAAATATCTTCCTTATGAGATGCAAAGAAAAAGGATTCAAACATCATTACTATCGAAAGATATAATAGGGACAAACCACAGTGGATATGTATGACTAATTGCAGACCAATTTAACTGGAGTCACAGAAAAAGGGGAGAAGCGATAGATATCCAAAAGTCAAAAGAACACAAGAAAAAGGCTTTCCTGGGCTATGCCCTCAGAGAATATTTGACAGCAAATAATTTGGAAGTGGTTAACTCCTAGAACCACAATCTTGACATAAATGATTGTGGCAACTAACACCCAATTCAACCTAACAGCAAGTAATTGTCACTCAGTGATCTTAACCAAACAAAATTTATTCTAGCTTGAATGTTGTTGGTTCCTGAAACCATCTCTGACATGCACAACTGGGACTCACCTTAATACTAATAGACAACACCATGTTTCATCTAATAAAAAAAACAAAAGCGCAACCTTTGGTTACTATAAACTCTTCAAAGAAAGAAAATTACATAATGAAATTATGACTACGGATAAAGGCCCTAAAAATATCACGGATAAGCAACTAAGGATGGTATTAAAATCCAGTTTGGCATAAGTTCTATCGACTTTCTTTTGTCGTCAATGAAGTAAAAAGTGCAAGAAAATTATGCACCTTAACAAGTTGGAAGTTTTTTTGGTGGAGAAGACAAATTTGCATTTTTGATAAAACAAACACAACAAAATCAGAGTAAATCCACATGATACACGGTTCTAAATATATGGGGCGTAAAGCATGATGGATAAATCACTGTTAGCTGGTTCGAAGGAGATCTCAGAATGAACTCTCGGAATAGGTCTCATGTTTGGTACCAATCTTTTAATTCCTTAAATACGTAAGGCCTATTAAAATTCTGAAATCAAATCTGTGAAGCACATGGTGAACCACTTGTGCATTTCAACCGACGAATTTACAGTAAATTCATGCCAGTCCGTCAAAAACATATTTTTCACTGACCATACATTTGTGGCTGGCTTTTCAAACTAAGAAATCATTGCCTACGATATGCATCCGACGCTCAAATGCAACATTATATCTGAAATGGTGAGACAGACAGATTTATGTAGCCATGAATTGGTACTTAATCAGCAAGAAGAAAATAATTGTAAAACGCAAATAATGCTTATTTCCCAAAGACTTGGATGAAAGCCGCAACAAACTCGGGCACTACAGGACCTACCTCCGAAACCTAATGTTGCATTACCACGCCGTCCTCCTCAGCGCGCATCAGGCCGCCGAAAACCAACTTATGGATCCCATCCGACGGCTACAATTGTCACGACCAAAGGAGAAGAACAACGACGTCGCAGAGGCGTTGGCAGGCGGGCGCAACAGATCCGACCTGGTGGGGCCGGGCGGTCGACGCGTGAGGCTTCTTCAACGGTGCGATCCTCCCCATCCCCTCTCTCCTCTTCTCTTCCTCTTGCCGCCTGGGTATCGAAAGAAGATGATGTTGCGTTGCATTGCATCGCTTTGCTTTGAGAGCTGCATCTCTCGCTTCTCGTTCCCTGTTGCGTTGAGATTTGTGTTCTTGATAAGATGCCCTCGAAGAGTTAACACACATGGGAGTGGATTTGGGATAAAAGCCAATTCTAAATTTTCTATTTAGAATTATATTTAAAGTCCTCTAAATATAATTCGTGCTAATCATTTTAATATTTCTGTACATCTTCAATGCAACACACAAACTTTACTCGACATTACATAATCTAAAACTTAGGATTTAGATGGCATTGATCTCTTGCGTCTGTCAGCGAATGTTATTATCTCACATAATAACATTGTGTTTCGGAAATTAAAAAGTTTAATGTGTGTATAATTAATTTTAGTACATTACATTTGTAATATATATATATATATATATATATATATATATATATATATATATTATTTATTTTTATTTT